GAAAAAGGTTCTGGAGAGACAAGAGATTTCTTTTTTTCAAAACACTGTAAGCTAGAGTGCATAGCTAAATGTCTATGGAGATTCTCAGTCATCCAAATCATGGTTGTCCCAGAGGTGCTTTTTCCTAAAGCCAACTGGACTATCTTGGTTTATGAGATGTTTCACTTCTTATCCAAGAAACTTCTTCAGTTCTTGGGTAGAAGCAAAACATTTTCAAAGAAAAACAAAAGAAGTTCAGTTGCCTTTTGAAAAATAGCATCTTTAGAATTGTAAACTAAAGATCTTGAAAGCAGTTTACTTGAGTTGCCAAATGGCAAACCAGAAAACTGTATGGGTCTTTTTCAGTTGTCCCACATTATACTTAAATTGGTGTGAAGCAATAGCCATGATTTAAAGCACTCTATCAGTAATGAAACTTGTAGCATGATGTTAACTTGTAGCAGATTAATTTAGCTATAAGTGAATTTTAAATCTGCATGATGTGCTCAACCATATCTAGATAACTATAGTTTGCAAATATATGATATTGACAGAAAATATGAGATATAAAAAAGCACTTGAATGTCTGGTTAACAATAAGTGGGTTAACAGCAACATATTTGAGAAATAGACATAATTTATGTCATGAGTTAAAATTTTAATAGATCTGATCTCTATACATGAAGAAATATAGGATGGTATTGTGAAGAAATTCATGTTTTAGATAAGGCCCTTGTTCTTTTTTTTTTTTTCATTTCCTTTTCTTTTACCCTTCTTTGAAGGCCAGGGCTGGGCGCACCACCATTGTAATTGCTCACAGACTCTCTACAATCAGGACAGCTGATGTTATTGCTGGCTTTGAGAAGGGTGTTCTCATCGAACAGGGGACACATAGTGAACTCATGGCACATAAAGGAGTTTACTATGCCCTTGTAATGCAGCAGGTAATGAGATTTAGTAGCTTGGTTCAAATGTGACATTATGTGCTTTATGAGGATAATTCCCAGGTGTGTAGTTTCTGTCCTTTCCCACATCCTAACTATGAGAGATCTGGAATTGTCCATTTTGGGTAAATTGCAATGTAGCATTAACTACAGGGGGGGGGGACATTCCACCTTTATAAATGATGTTTTGAAACTATCTTGTTTCAAGAGAAGCTACTATTTGTCCAGGTTTACATGTTGATAATTGTGCTTTGGCTAAACATGGACACAAATGTAGTAGCTATTCAAAATAGGGTACAGGAACATATAAGTCCACTGTTCCATAATACTGAAGCAAAGTTAATGAAATGTTATTGGCTGCCTCCAGAGATCAAAGAAATATTACCCTTAAGCTATATGTGTACCTTGAAGATTTTTTGTTTAGGTTTTTTTAAAAAATTTAAAATCTGAATGTTTACCAGCTTGCTTGGACCTGGCACATTACAGAGTATTACTATTCACCTCCAGAGTAATCTCTTTTTCCCAAGAATGTCACTGGATTCTGTATGGATCCAGATATGTTAGAAAATGAACAAAGTAATGCTTCAGACATAGGCAAATGCAGTCAAGATTCTGTTAACTATAGCCCAGTATTTCTCAACCTTGACAGCCTAAAGGTAGCTGGATTTAACTCCCAGAAATCCTCAGGTAACTGTGACTTCTTCTTCTTCTTCTTGCTATAGTCATTAAGCAAATCACAAAACTGTTAAGTGAATCCAAGTTCCTCCATTGACTTGGAAGTCAGTTGGAAGCCAACTGACAAACATGTAAACCTGGGATTCTGCAACTATTGTAAATCCATGCTGGTTGCCAAGTGCCCAAATTACAATTACATGACCATGGAAATGCTGCAATAGTGTGATGATCGATCATAAGTCACTTTTTCATTGCCATTGAACTTCAAACAGTCACTAAAGGAATGGTTGTAAATCAACCATTAAATCTACCTGTAGATTTAATTCTCATAAATTGTAATTAGAAAAATTGATAGTTTTTTTTTCCTAAGTTGTTTTCTTTTTATAAAATGTTTAGAATTACCAGGAAGAAGAACCAGAGAGTGAAACATCACATGAAGAGACAGAATTTGAGACTGAGGAAGAAAATAGTGAAATTTCAGAGAAAGAAGATTTATATGAAACAGCAGATCTAAATGATTTGGAGAATTCTAATGGTGGCACAGAAGTAGCTAAGTATGGAAGTGTACGAAGAATATCCAACAGACCCTCCCTCAGTAGGGCTTCTACTAAAAGATTTTCTGAGAGAAAAAGGAGAAAAAAACAGAAGAAGAAAGCAAAGAAAGCCCGAGTGGTTAGTATTAAAATTATTTCTAAAATAACTTCTTTGTTAAAAATATGACTCTTCTGTAAGTGTTTGGTGGAAATTGGTATCCCTGTGGTTCTAGTAACAAACCAGAGTTATGTTTTGTTCTTTCCATAAATGCCTTGTATTTATCAATGCATTTTATTTTATTTTTAGATAAATTCATGAGTAAAGAAACCCCAGTTGTTAGGAAAAATTATTCAATTTCATTCATCCCTGCCCTGTGTTTGGTAATTAAGATAATGTATATATCAAACAATATGAACAACTTGAGAAAACCAGTTAGGAAATGTATTTCATTTCTAGACTTTGGAATTATATTGTATTTTAAACATGCCACATCAAAATTTCATCTGAAACACATGACAGTAAAATAATAAGAACCGAAAGTTAATGTACAGATAACAATATCCTAAGGCCTACAGTTTAGTAACGCAAAAGAATGATTTATGCAGAAATGTCACCATTCACGAGGGCTTTCTCTTACTTTTTAGTGACCTTTGTGGGCAGATTTTGAGATAAATTGGGTTTTTGTTCTTTTTCTTTTGTTTCAACACTTGTATTCATTGTCTGAGATCATAGAAATGACACAGAGGTCAGTTTCCTTTTAGTGCTGTACAGTTTGAGTAATTCTCAGGGACATTTTACCCAACGATTGCATTGCTGCTTGTAATCTTGTTGGTGATAAAGGGAATTTTCTCTCTTTACAGAAAGAGACCCTCCCAGATGTTCCTTATACCAGGATCCTGGCTCTGAATAAGCCTGAATTCTGCTATATAGCAGTTGGGATCATTGCTGCTGCCATTGCTGGAGGTGTTACTCCTGCCTTTGCAGTTCTGTTTGGTAAAATCATTGGGGTATGTTTAGAGCCACTCAATGTTTCTATATCCTTTTTTTGCAGAATCTATCAAACCCAGCAGATGTACTGATTTCTTATTATGATCTTACTTCATTGGAAGCTGAGGTTATTTACAATGGCTTTACCAATGGCATTTCAATTTTCTGATCATCTACCTCTAGCTTTCCAAAAATATATTCTAAATCATTTCTCCCAAATGAAATGAATAATCTTAGTCCATGTGATCGAAGTATCCTCCAAGATGGTATAAAAGAGGAGAGACTAATCCAGAACATATATACCCATGTTTCCCCCAAAATAAGACCTGGTCTTATATTTTTTGGGCCACCCAAAAAGGCATCAGGTATTATTTTTGGGGAGGTCTTATTCCCCCCCCCCATGTACTGGGAGATGAGGGTCCAGGGGCAAGTTCCTTGCCTAATGGATTTACCAGCAGCTTGGTTCATGGAACAACTGATCTGCGGATGTGCTCCTGTTGCTGTCTCCAAGAAGTGTGGGCACTTTTGCAGCTGATTGAGGCTGCAAAAGCAGCAGGAGGCCCTAGGCACCTCATGCCCCCTTCAAGAACAGGCTGAAGCCTTTAGATGGAGCATTTTTGGAATGTGCGTCTGTGCTGGGATCAAGGAAAGGACAAACGGTAGGAAAATGGGGGGGGGGGGAGATTTTCCTGCCAATCATACTTTTCTCGAACCCTGCACAGGTGCACAACCCAGGATTGCAAGGCTGGGGGCTTTGGATGGAGCATTTTTGGGATGTGCATCTGTGCTGGGATAAAGGAAAGGACAGTTGGTAGAAAATTGGGAATTTTCCTCAGGGTTGCAATCCTGCTCAGGTAAGGCAGAGGTTTACTCCGAAGCTGCAGCAGTGTTGCAGTGGGAGGGCAGCAGCAGCAGCAGGTGCAGCAGGCCCAGCAGCCAGAGGTGGGGGAGGAGCTGATTCCAAGGTGCTGCATGGCCTTCTGCCTCATCATAGCAGCAGCCTGAGCAAGACCCAAGCTCCAGGCCTGGTGGAGCCCAAACTGTGGTTGCCACCTGCTTTAGAGCTACAAGGTGAGCTGCAAAAAAGAGGGGCCCTTGGCTGCAAGGTTATCTGGTGCCGCGGGCAGGACTGGGGCTGGCAAGAGTGCACCGGAAACACCTCCAGGTGCCCAGAGAGATAGAACAAGGGGCAGCTCTCAGCCCTCTCTGGCTCAGCTGATCCGTGGGCCTCAATTAAGGAGCCGAGCCACCATAAGGTGACTGGGAAAGGGAAGGCTGCCTCCTGTGCTGGCCATTCCCACCCCTTTCACTAGGGCTTATTTTTGGGGTAGGTCGTATTTTGTGGGGAAACATACTATTGTTGTACTGTTTTTCTGGTGTGCATTTTCAATTTTGTTCTGATATGGTCATCATACGAACAGATGTATAAATTGAATGCTAATAGAACAGTAAAATGCCTTACATAACTCATTTCAAAAGCCACTGGCAAGGAAGCTGGGGGAAGAGAAAGAGAGGGAAGAAAGGGGAATATACAGAAAGAGATAGGAACAATGGAATCCCCACTTCCTTTTAATCTGGCCAGGTAGTCCTCAATTTATAACCATTTCTTTAGCAACCATTCAAAGTTATGATAGTGCTGAAAAAAGTGACTTGCAATCATTCCTTACACATCATGTGAATGTGATTCAGGCACTTGGATACAGGCATTTGGCCTATATTTATACTATCCCATGGGAAAGTACATATAAATTAAAAATAGAATTCATTGAACTATTTTATTCACCAACGGATGCAGTGGGCTGCCGCTTACAAAGCTTATGCTTTTAAAAAAATATTGTTAGCTGGTGCTTACCATACTCCTGAATTTTGCCTGCCACATTAACATGGTTCTTCTTCTACAGTTATTTGGTATGTTGATTCTATCCATATTACAACCACCTGCAAGGAAACTGTCACCTACAGATATTTCAAATAAAATTATTTTTAACTTTTTATTCTTTAATAATCTTTTCCAAGCTTCTACTTGGCCCTGATTAATTTCCACCTTTGAATTTAATGATTTTTGAACATAGCCTCAAGGAAATGAACATGATCCAGACTTCTATTTTTAGAAAGCCATGAGATTCAGCGACAAATTCTGTTCTGATGGAGAGCTATCAAATATGGCCTGCAAAACTCCATGCAATCACTAGACAGTGGTAAAGAGGTCAACTTCATACTGCTGCTATCTAATGGTTATTTCTTATAATCTGAATTAGAGATTAGTGTCACTGAATTAGAATTAGTTTCAAATTCTTCATGTAAAATATTGTCTGCTGTTCAGAATAGCTGATGGTAACATAAAGGGAAATCAGGGAAATTGACTTCTAGGAAATAGTCATAATTTGAACTAAATAGAAAGTTTAACTGGAATGGCTTCTTGTGCTGGTGATTAAAACTATGCTTTGCCACTCAGGCTTTCCAAGAACAAGATGAGGTAAAGAAAAGCCAGAATACAGTGCTGTATTCTCTCATGTTTCTGGTGTTGGGAGTGATCAGTTTAGTAACTCATACAATCCAGGTAAGTTCTAGTATAAGACCTACTTAATAAGAAATTCTTACAAAGGAGCATCCTATAAGAAAGAGAGGATTGTATACAGTACAAAGTTACTCAACCAGTGTAATATGAAAGTGTTTCAACTTTAAAATGATGGACTTTTGACACTATACTTTATTAGATGGAATCCCATAAATCATTGCAAACCCATAAATCACATGTATATCATTCTTGCTGCTTTGGCTATCTTAACATATATATCTAGGCCTTCTCAACATTCAATCTACTTCTTTGTTTATCTTTTTATTCAAATTTCATCAGGCAGTTTCTCAGCATAGCAATAGCACTTAGGCTTATGTACTGCTTCACAGTGCTTCACAGTCTTTTCTAAGCAGTTTACCGAGTCAGGATATTGCCCCCAACAATCTGGGTCCTTATTTCACCAACCTCAGAAGGATGGAAGGCTGAGTCAACCTTGAGCCAGTCAGGATCGAACTCCTGGCAGTGGGCAAAGTTAGCCTGCAATACTTCATTCTAACCAGGGGTGGGTTCTAAATTTTTTTACTACCGGTTCTGTGGGCATGGCTTATTTTGTGGGTGTGGCTTGGAGGTCATGTGACTAGGTGGGTGTGGCTAGCTGGTCAGAGTCATTTCTGAAAGGTCCTCGCACTTACGACCAGTCCTTGCACTTACGACCCGATTCATTTGTTTGCTTTTAACACTGATCAGCTGTAGGACAGCCCTTTGAAGCCCCGCGGCAAGAGTTTAAACAGTTTTTTTCCCTCTAGTCATCAGCTGGGACTCAGGAGGCAGCAATAGATTGGGGGTGGGACCAAATAAAAGGTAAGAATAACGTGGGTGGGGGTGGGTGGGAGGGTGGGAGGGGGGAGAACCGGTTCAGTGATGTCATATCGTCACCGCTACCGGCTCGACCAAACCGAACCGAACTGGGAGGAACCCACCACTGATTCTAACCACTGTACCATCACACGTAATCATTACTATAATTAGTGATTACCCACCCCCTTAATCTTTGATATGGTTCTGTCTTTATTTCTTGAATTTGTAGTTACGTTCTGCATTAATAAATACCTGAAAACTGCCTCCTCCTCATTTAATGGATATTCCCCCTTCAGATCATAATGGCCTTTTTCTAAAAAATAAAAAGCTAAAAGTTTTGCCGTTACCTTTTACAGGGATTCACCTTTGGGAAGTCTGGAGAAGCTCTCACGATGCGGTTGCGCTCTCTTTCTTTCAAAGCCTTGCTGCAGCAGGTAACAAAACAGCAGGAAAGGGAAAGAAAGAGCATTTTGGGGACAGGTTTGGATCACCAATAAAGGAGAATATTTGTAGCTCAGGGTTGAAATGAGGAATCCTTGGTGCTCTCTGAGCTTGACTGATTTCTTGCAGATGTCTCAAACTAGGTAACATCAGCAGTGCTACAGTGGTGGGTTTCTACCAGTTCACCCTGGTTCAGGCAAACCAGTAGTGGCAGCGGTGGGAGGCTCTGCCCACCCGCCCAGACGTCATCATGGACACTCTGCGCATGCGCAGAAGGTTCTGCGCATGCACAGAAGTGCTGCATGCGAGAAAAGCGAGCGCACACATGCACGCAATCCTGATTCCGAACCGGTAGTGAAGGTAAGTGGAACTCATTATTGCAGTGTTAGGACCCGTTTACATTAGCAAAAGACTACTAACAAATGAAAACAGTAAATATTATAAACATAAAAGGGTCAAGTCAAGCTGCTGAATTTAGGTGAGATAAGAATGTTTTTTTCTTATCTTAGCAAGAATGAAGCCTATTTGAGGGATGTTTTTAAGAATTCCTAGCTGACCTAAGCCCTAAGATTGTTTGATGCTTTCTCATCTAAGAACAGTACTCAACTAGTCCAATTGTTCTTTGATTTTCTAATTCAGCCAAGGTTGGTTAGGAACTGCCAGTCCAAAATAGTGGCTTGTTGAATAAAAAGCTAATGCTTAAGAAGCTATGAGACCTCCATATAGTCTAGAATTGTCTCTAAAGACATAGAAACATAATGCACTACTGCATCCTCCATTCCAGTGGGGTTATATTGCCAAAACGAATAATTAATTAACCCACAGAATATTTGCATATCCCTGGAAGCACTAAATCTAACATCTTTTAATAGTGGAAAATAACATTTTCCACTATTCCAGGCCCAAGAATTAATTTCATCTCTATGAATAGCTAGTAGGAGGAAAGCAGCACTTTTAATTCAGATGTCTCTATCTCTACGCCTGTCCTATTTTTTTAAAGTAGACACAACACATACTGACTTCTAGAGATCATTATATTTTATTTGGGAAATAATGTTGAATGAACAGCTGGACCTATCATTTCAGTATTAAACTATTTCAGCCCATTACACTTTTTCACTATTCCACCACTCTATTGTTTTATTTGGGTGCACCATGGGAACAGGTAGTAATGGATAAAATATCAAGTTGGTAACTGTGACTACTTACCAGGCAGCGATGGGATTCAAATAATTTAACAACTGGTTCTGTGCCCTAATGACCGGCTGGGTAGGCATGGCTGGGTAGTAATGTGACTGGGTGGGTGTGGCCAGGGTGGGCGGGACACAGGACTCATGTGATGCTAAGGCAGGACTTCCCTGAGAGCCTCCAACACTCTCATTATAAAGACAATCCTCCAATTACAAATGTAATAGAGCCTGCCAATTATATTTGTAACCTGAGGATTCATTTGATTGAATCATGTTAAATGACCGTGATCACTCCCTGCTTTCCCCAATGCATTTGTTAATCGAATGCGCTGTTCTTTAAATGCACATGAGGTATCTCAGGCTGGAGAAAAACATGTGGGGGTTAGTGCTGAAGCAAACTATCCAAGGCCTCCCCCAATCCACTGAGATACCTCATGCTCCCCTGGGGTCCCCACAATTGCTACCCCCCATCCTGCCCCGCTGGGTCTCCATAGGCTGGGCCTGCTTTGCTAGCATCTCAGATTCCAATTACTCCTCCCCATCCCATTTCCCATGGATTACTTACTTTTTCAACATCTCCAGAGGTCCAGAAGAGGCTGACCCACTGGCAGAGAAGCCAACGTGTTTTATTCAGATGATGGCAAAGCTGTAAAAATGTGAAATCTAAGGAAAATATTTTCACCAGCTTCTGAGTAAAAGACTTTCACTTGGGGCCAGCTTCAGGGATTGAGGTAGCAACAGCAACCAATCAACAAGGAGCTTGCTTCCTTTTGTCTCATTGGGCTGCAAGCCCCTTGTTTATTGGCTGCCTCATCCCAATCCCTGAAGCTGCTCATTTGAACTAGCCAGTCAGCAGCAAACAAACTGGGTTCAAACTAAGCCTGACCACACTGGGTCAAATTAAGACTGCAGGCCCTCATGGCAGAGAAACTGAAGTCTTTTATTCAGATGAGGGAAGCTATTTTCCTTATATCTCACGTTCTTACAGTTTCACCGGCTTCTGAATAAAATACTTTGGCTTCTCTGCCACATGGGTCAGCCTCTTCTGTAGCTCTTCAAAAAGTAAGTATAGTAAAGCCATGGGAAATGAGGTGGGGAGGGCTGGATTGGGCCCATGGAGCCTCAATTTCGGTCTGTAACAGGTTGGGGGAAGCCTATGGAGGCCAGAATGGGACCTGGGAGGGATGAATCGGGCCCTGGGAGGCTCCATTTCGGCCTGTAACAGGCCAGGGAAGCCCTAGGGAGGGGCCTGGGAGGGCTGGATGAGGCCCACCGAGGCTCTGTTTTTCCCTGTAACAGGCCAAGGGAGGCTTATGCAGGCCCAAATGGAGCCCTAGCAAGCTCCGGCTAGCAGCCAGGAGGCTCATCTCGCCTCCTGTTGAGGAGAGACTGGGAGGGAGGGGCAAGGCTTCAGCTGGTTCAACAAACTGAACAAATGGTTAACAACCGGTTCTAACAAACCAGTGAAAACCAGCTGAATCCCACCACTGGATTGAAGCCCTGCCTCTTTTTAAATAAAAATAGGGTAGGTGTCAATTATGCGGTTGCAGCTATCATTTTTGACCCTCTATGTGGACACCTCTTGTTTTGTTACATCAATCTTAGACTAAATTGATAAAATAAAATCAACATTGAGAACAGGTGGCTGAAAATTTTAGAGTTGGTACCTTGATGCCACCCAAGAATGATCACCTGATTTTGATACCACTGTAGTGGGTGACCAAATGTAACAGACTTTACATGCTTTGTGACTACACTATTCGGGACTACAGTAGAAAAGGACTCAACTAAGAGTGACTTATGTGTGATTCATTAATGAACTGGGAACGAAATGAAGACAATTTCAGGGAGTCTATGCAGAAAAAAAAAGTTATGTTGCCAAGACATATTTATATCATAATTCGATACAAGAGGAAAGGTTCTGAGCTCTAACAAGAGTAATTGTTAATTTCAATTATTATTTAAATTTGTTCATTTTGATTTTAGGAAATTGGATGGTTTGATGATCACAATAATGGTATTGGAGTTCTGTTAACCAGACTTTCAACAGATGCTTCCCAAGTTAAAGGAGTATGTTTTTTGCTTATTGATTTTATATATTTTATTGGAATTATAATTAACTTGGTATCAATAAGAGACTGCTGCAGGAAACAGCAGAATAAATCCATTATTTGAATCATTTTCACATTCTGAATACATAAGGGTCTATGTTTGTTTTGTATCTTCAGACAAGTATTCTACTTGCACTTTCTAAAATAGTCTGTTTGGGAATAATACATTCTACAAGACTCCAAGATCCTATGAATCAGTTTGGCATTGAAGCTATAACTTTGCCAATTAATTTACTGGCTTTGCAGTATTGCCAGATGATATCATATATGCATAAAGAAATGATTCTGCATCAGTTCATGGTACATTTATAAAAATCCCAATGGGTAGTTTCAACTAATAAAGAGAATATGTAAAAAGTGTTTTCAAGAAAATTAGCAACATGACTTGGAAAAGCAGGGAATAAATATTAATCATGCCACCTGATGTGAATTTTCCATGCATATACTTTTATACCTTAGCAAGACATAGATATGTTGTGTTTTCACAGAGAAAGAGAGCCTGTGAGCCTTCAGATGTGCTAAACCATCTGAATATTTACATACACACATATAAAATCAGATTGAATCTATATGCTACAAAGCTATTACAGAATCTAATAGTTCTGGTTGAGATACCACAAAGCCTTCTCCCAGAAGACAACCGTATTGTGAATATTATAAAAAGAATGCTTTATTGTGGAAAAGGTATAATTTGTTTTTCTTGTTTATTTTCAAGGCTACTGGAAGTCGATTGGCCTTAATGACCATGACTTTCTTCACACTCGTGACAGCTCTTATCATTGCTTTTGCACATGGTTGGCATTTAACACTGCTCATCCTAGCTTGTATTCCCTTCATCATTGTTGCAAAGGCTATTCAAGCGAGATCGATGGAAGGTCATGCAGCTAACGATCAAAAAGCCCTTGAAGAAGCTGGAAGGGTATCTTCTACATATATAAATCCATGGATAAGATTAAGGCTATAGTGGTGACAAGTAGGCAGGAAATGTCTTATGATTTGAACTTTCAATAGATTTACATCCATTCACTATTTCAGCAACATCTGGACATACTTTGGTATGGTCCTCAGCAGTGGTAGGATTCAAATAATTTAACAACCGGTTCACCCAGGCTCAGGTTGGCTGTCATGGGAGGTGTGGCCCATCCTTGTCCTCCAGCTCTGCTGCACATGCGGACAAGCCTTCTGTGACAGCCAATCTGATCCTGGGTGAATCAGTTGTTAAATTAGCCCCCCCCACACACACACCCAATCAAAGTGGATCCTGGGTGCTGCACTGCAATGGAGAAATGGGCAACAAAGTGGCCGGCACGAAGAAAGGAGGAGGGAAAGTGGCCTTCTCCTTCCCTTGCGTTGGCCGCTCCGTTGCCCATTTCTCCATTGCAGCACAGCACCAGGATTCACTTTAATAGTGGGGGGTGGGTAATTTAATAACCGGTTTGCCCGAACCAATGCAAACTGGCTGAATCCTACCACTGGTCCTTAGTCTTCATTTTTCTCAGTAGTGCTTCTCCAGGAAAACATGGTCTATTTATTGACATGCCACTTTCTCAGAATGTACTTAAGGCAGTGATGTGAAATCACTTAACTCAAACTCAAAAACTTCTCTATACTGAAACAAATAATCTGGAGAGAAGCACAATTTGAAAACTCAAATTAAACAAGCCTGCAGGAACCTGGCTCTCT